CCCCATGGAAAAGTCTGGTTTGCCATCGGAACTTTGGAAAGAAGGGGGTAGACATTGCCCAGGCCCTCTCCATACGTAAAAATTCTCATGGCACATCCACAGGAAACTCTACAATTAATGCATAGTTGGAAAAAAATCATTACTTCAGCCAATTTGGAACTTTGGTCCCAAAAAGATTTGATTTCTCCAGAACTAAAGTCACATTTCACTGCTGAACAATGAAAACCGTTCAGATTAACTTGAAAATACCATGTGCCCAGCTGGAGGAGAGGAACCGCGGTGATGATGGCTACTGGACTTTCGAAGCACCTAAGAAAGAAACAACACGGTCTGGGAACTCGTCAGAGCAGTCTGCACGTGCTGGGCTCTGGGAGAGTCAGCCCCAGGAGGCTGCAAAGGGTCTAACAGCTGGACACAGATGAGGGCAGCGGACAAAGTGCGGGCAGGGATTGCTGCAACAACAAGCTGCCCAAGCTGGGCTGTAGTGTTTGGGAGAGCATGCTCCTGGCCACTGGGAAGCCAGGACAGAAGCGAGCCAATCTCAGAGGCTTTTGCCCTGGGCTCTGCCTGGGTGAGAATCCATAAATCATAGAGAAAAGCTGGGTCCCGACAGGAAAGGACACCCTTCTCTGATGGAAACTGGAGAGACAAGCCAGGCGTTGGTGGTGCACGCCTTTAATCCCAGCCCTCGGGAGGCAGAGGCAGGTGGATCTCTGTGAGTTCGAGGCCAACCTGGTCTATAGAGCGAGTTCCAGGACAGCCTCCAAACAATACAGAGAAACCCTGTCTCAAAAAAACCAAAAAGAAAGAAAGAAAGAAAGAAAGAAAGAAAGAAAGAAAGAAAGAAAGAAAGAAAGAAAGAAAGAAAGAAAGAAAGAAAGAAAGAAAGAAGAGACAGCTGGATGGGGTTTAAACTGGAAACTGAAAGCAGGAACTGAGAGCCAACCAGCAGGGTGCTGAACTAGCAGGCCGAGAATTTGACTACAGGAAAGCCAGGCTCCAGCTCAGGGTGACCCCTTGAAGCCCTGCCCTCTGGATAACAGGGGCCCAGGCATCTGAATCTATTTGCCTCTTGGGCACAGAGCTGTTAGCTTAGACCTTGCACATTTTCCAGAGCAACCTCCAGTCACACCCAACCTGCTCTGTGGGAAGGGAAAAATCCCCCTGAGAACGGGGAATCCTGGGACCTGAAACTCACAGCACGAAGACCTGGGACACCCCCAGGGAACCGAGTTGGATCACAGGATCCCAGAGAGGGCTTGGATATCTCAGCCCACGGCATCCAATGGCTGTTTTCACGGGGGAAGGAAGGGTCTTCTATGGGTAAAAATTCAATGACTAAGAAACAAAAATAAAGTGGAAGAAAATTCTGCCCCTGAAGAGGGTAGGGTGTAAAGGGATAGAGCCAGACACGCTTAACGGAAACACGTTATGCCTTTTTATCACTACTCAAGTGCACGTGTGTCATCACGTACAATGCATCTGCAGCGGCTGTCCCTGGGCAGACTGCAGAGCTTACAAACCCTCTCAGTGGGCATTGTTCTTGCTATCCAGCTCAACTCTCAAGGGACAGTGGCAGATGCCCTCAGAGGCCCCTGACAGGTGACCCACTTTAGATGACACAGCAGCTCTCAGACAATGCAGTTCAACCCTGACGTTCGTGCCTCCTCCCCATCACAAACACGGACTCGTCCCAGTTTGCCTCTTTGAATCATCCCCGAGGCAGCGTAAGCATGGAAAAAATGCAAAGTTATGGAAAGTTAAAGTTTTCGCACAGCAAAGACATCCATCAACAGAATGAACGGCCAGGATGGAGCACAATCTGTACCAGCCATACCCCCAGACAGGAAAGTCAACATATAAACAACTGTGTGCTGGCTAGTTTTATGTCAACTTGATACAAGCTAGGGTCATCACAGAAGAGGGAACCTCAGCTAAGAAAATGCTTCCATAAGATGGGGCTGCAGGCAAACCTGTAGGGTATCTTCTTAATTAGTGATTGATGGGGGAGGGACCAGTCCATTGTGGGTGATTCCATCCCTGGGCCGCGGTGGTCCTGGGTTCTACTATATAAAAAAAAAAAAATCAGGCTGAGCAAGCTATGGTGGGCAAGCCAGTGAACAGCGCCCTTCATGACCTCTGCATCAGCCTCTGCCTCCAGGTCCCTGCCCTGTTTGAGTTCCTGTCCTAGCTTCCTTCAGGGATGAACTACCGTGTGGAAGTGTAAGCTTGCTTTTGGTCCAACGTGGTGTTTCACCACAGTAATAGTAACCCTAACTAAGATAAACTGGAACAACCACACAGACTGTAGCAGGAAAAGTAAAAGACCCAGAGACTGATATTGGGGTTCAAGCTTCAACCTGAAAATCAGAAAAGCAAAGCAGCCGGGCACTAGCTCTTACTCTACCTCAGACTGAATGTGATCCTGGCTCCACCAAACCTCAGACTGTAACCTCTCCTCAGCATGGCTGGAGAATGCTGAGACTTCAGTGTCTTCCTGTCCTCAATGTGGCTGGAGAATGAATGCCCGATACTGACCACTGAAGACCCTGCTCCTGTCTTTTATACCCCTCTAGTGCTGGGGTTAAAGGCATGTGATCCCAGGTGCTGAGGTCATCTCTGTGTGAGCTGTTTCTCTTTAGGACTGGATCACTCTTGTGTAGATCTAGGTGGCCTTGGACTCACAGAGATCTGTCTACCTCTTAATCCCCAGTCCAAGGATTAAAGGTGTGTACCACCACCTCCTAGCTTCTGGCTGCTGGGATTAAAGGTGTGTTTTACCACAGCCTGATCTCTATAGCTTGTGGCTGACTTTGCTTTCTGAATCTTCATGCAAGCCTTAGTAAATAATAAATAATATATCACCACAACAGAGAATGAAACAAAACTGCCCATCAATAAATGGGCTGGTGAAATAAGTAGTTCCCCTCAAAAAAAAGAAACACGAACTATCATTATACAAATAAGCATTTTATGTTCGACATCCTCAGCCAATCAGGAAAATGCAAATGAAAACTTTTAAGATTCTGTCTCATCAGCATCAGAACACCTATGAGCAAACAAACAACGAACAGAGAAGATGACAAGACTAGAGAGATGGCTCAGTGGTTAAGAGCATTTCCCATCCTCTCGAAGGACACAGGTTCAGTTCCCAGCACCCACATCGGCAACTCAGAACCACCTGACACCAAGGATCCAACACTTCTGGTCTCTGTGGGAGCAGCACACATGTGACACACATATTCACACACTCAGGAGCACACATGTGCACGAGTTCACACAACAAAGTATGTTTTATAGAAATTAAAAGAAAAGAGAGGAAAGAGGATGGGGGTTTCCCAAGAAATTAAAAATAAAGCTACCATATGGGTTTATGTCCAGAGGACTCTATCGCCTACAACAGAGACATGTGCACACCCATGTCTGTTGCTGCTGTGTTCACAGTGGCCGGGAAGTGGGACAGTCCCGGTACCCATCACCAGATGAATGGATGATGAGATGTGGCATTTATACACACAGTGGAATTTTACTCAGTTCTTAACAAAACGAAATTATGAAACTTGTAGGGAAATGGATGGAGTTAGACATGATTATATTCTCCTGGTTGGGTTTGGGGGAGGCATTGTTTTTGTTTTGTTTTTTGAAAACTTGACACAAGCTGGAGTTGTATGGAACAAACTGAGAAAAATGCCTCCATCAGATTGGCCTGTAGGCAAGTTCTGGAACATTATCTTAATTAGTAGTTGATGTGGGAGGGACCAGCCCACTGTGAGCAGCTCTACCCCACTGTGAGCAGCGCTACCCCTGGGCAGGTGGGACTGGGTTGTATCAAAAAGCAGGCTGAGCAAGCCATGGGGAGCAGGCAGCACCCTCCATGGGCTCTGCATCAGCTCCTGTTTTGAATTCCAACCCTGAATTCCTTCAGTTATTGAATGTGACCAAGAGTTGTGAGCTAAAATAGACCCTTTCCTCCCCAAAGTCTGGCTGGTGGTGGTGCAAGGACCTTCTGGTCTACAGAGTGAGTTCCAAGACAGCCAGGGTGGTTACCCAGAGAAATCCTGTCTTGGAAAAGAGGAAGGAAGGAAGGGAGGGAGGGAGGGAGAAAGAGAGGAAGGAAGGAAGGAAAGAAGGAAGGAAGGAAGGAAGGGAGGGAGGGAGGGAGGGAGGGAGGGAGGGAGGGAGAAAGAGAGGAAGGAAGGAAAGAAGGAAGGAAGGAAGGGAGGGAGGAAGGAAGGGAGGGAGGGAGAAAGAGAGGAAGGAAGGAAGGAAGGAAGGAAGGAAGGAAGGAAGGAAGGAAGAGAGGAAGAGAGGAGGGAAGGAAGAAGAGAAAAGAAACCTAATTAAGGCATATTAAGTGAGGCTAGCCCAGAAAGATCAATATCACACGTTCTCTCTTATATGCAGATCCTAGCTTTTAATATTTGTTTGTTGTTGTAATTGTTTAATTACTACTTTCTGTTTTCTAGAATGTTCTACAGATCCCATTAATCCTTTTGCAGCAGCTGAGTTATAATCAGCGGGATGCTGCAATCGGTTTCTCAGCCAAGGAGACCATGAAGCGACTTCTAAGAGTTCACTTAGAACGAAGCTCTAGGACACAGCTAGTTACCACACGTCATCAAGGTGTGACTCTAAAATCCACATTCACGCAACCCAGGACTTTCATGAAGGCAATGAACAGGCTGCCGGGAGAACACCATAACATTTGCAATACGATTGCCACAGAAATCTATAGATAGATATCATTTAGTTCTTACTAACTGGCTTGAAAAGCCAACTTTCATGATTAACTGCCAAGGTTTCTTATCAGTGTGTAGATGTGACATTGCAAAACAAAACTCAGATAATTGTTGATCATAGATTCCCCCCAAAGCCCACAGCAACAACAAAACTCTGTGGGGAACTAGACACGACACACTCAGTGTCGTTTTAACATTGTTTACCTTAAGACACAAGACAATCTACCCTCTTAAGTCACTCTATCTCAATTCTTTTCTCACCTCTGAACTTCTTGGGGGGGTTGGCAAGGTCCCCGGCCTCTGGGTGTACCACACAGCGGTCATCCACCAACCTGAGGGAAAGAATGTTTACACCGTTAGCGTCACCACACTCAGAAAGCACACTCCGCACAGGGACATCGGGTAAATATTTACAGTTGGGATACTCAGAAACTTTGAGAGTCCTAGATTCATGAAAAGATCTGGTTGTGGGAAGAACAGGAAGCCTTAAGTGGTGGGAAACCTGGTAGATCAGCTTTGACCTTGGCAGCCACCGACGGCGGCTGAGCGACCTAAAAAGGCCCGTCAGGGAAATGCCCTGACATCTGGGATGTTGTGGAAATAAGCACTGACCAGTCAGCAAGCTTGCGTGTGTGTGTGTGTGTGTGTGTGTGTGTGTGTACATATACATACATATATGTGTGTATTTAAAATAACCCGTCTGAGATCAAGCCAGCCATCACTCCTCCGAGTGTGGCGAGGGGAGGGGCTCACAAGGCCCCACCCTTAACTGAAGAGCTTTTAGCAGGTGGTAGCTGCTGAGAGACAGAGTCACTTTTCCTCAGAGGTGCGGCCCTAGCAGGCTGCCCCGCTGGAGTGGATGGCCCACACTCTTGCACAATTAGTGGGCAGCACTAATGGACTCCAGGGCAATAGGAGGATAAAGAGGTGACATCGGGCAGAAGACACGGAGGGGGTGGGGTGTAAGGGGAAGAGCTAGGGCTGGATATGATCCCGGTACATTGCGTTTGTGTATGAAATTGCCAAAGAATAAATAATTTAATAGTACACACACACCACACACACACACACACCTCTAGATGTCCACACATAGAAATAACCACACCTGACACAGGGCACACTGCTGTGGCACACACTGCTGTCTGACTGTTGCACTCACTGCTGTCTGACTGTTGCACACACTGCTGTCTGACTGTTGCACACACTGCTGTCTGACTGTTGCACTCACTGCTGTCTGACTGTTGCACTCACTGCTGTCCGGCTGTGGCACTCACTGCTGTCTGACTGTTGCACACACTGCTGTCCGACTGTTGCACACACTGCTGTCCGACTGTTGCACTCACTGCTGTCTGACTGTTGCACACACTGCTGCCTGACTGTTACACTCACTGCTGCCTGACTGTTGCACTCACTGCTGTCTGACTGTTGCACACACTGCTGCCTGACTGTTGCACTCACTGCTGTCTGACTGTTGCACACACTGCTGCCTGACTGTTGCACTCACTGTTGTCTGACTGTTGCACTCACTGCTGTCTGACTGTTGCACACACTGCTGTCTGACTGTTGCACACACTGCTGTCTGACTGTTGCATACACTGCTGTCTGACTGTTGCACTCACTGCTGTCTGACTGTTGCACTCACTGCTGCCTGACTGTTGCACTCACTGCTGTCTGACTGTTGCACACACTGCTGTCTGACTGTTGCACTCACTGCTGTCTGACTGTTGCACACACTGCTGTCTGACTGTTGCACACACTGCTGTCTGACTGTTGCACACACTGCTGTCTGACTGTTGCACACACTGCTGTCTGACTGTTGCACACACTGCTGTCTGACTGTTGCACTCACTGCTGTCCGGCTAGGGCACACACTGCTGTCTGACTGTTGCACACACTGCTGTCTGACTGTTGCACACACTGCTGTCTGACTGTTGCACACACTGCTGCCTGACTGTTGCACTCACTGCTGCCTGACTGTTGCACACACTGCTGTCTGACTGTTGCACTCACTGCTGTCCGGCTATGGCACTCACTGCTGTCTGACTGTTGCACACACTGCTGTCTGACTGTTGCACACACTGCTGTCTGACTGTTGCACACACTGCTGTCTGACTGTTGCACTCACTGCTGTCTGACTGCTGCACACACTGCTGCCTGACTGTTGCACTCACTGCTGTCTGACTGTTGCACTCACTGCTGTCTGACTGTTGCACTCACTGCTGTCCGGCTGTAGTGCTCTTCAAGCTGCTACCTCATTGCACCAAACCTCTCACCACACGTCTCCCAGTGAGAGCCTCAGGGCAGCAGAAGTCCAAGTTTAGGAACTGACAGCTCAGTGGATCTCAAAGGCCAATAAACCAAAATGCAGAAGATAAAATGGGGCTGACGATACCACAGGAAGAAAGGTAAAACAAGGGACCAGCAACATAAAGATTCACACGGACTCACCCCTGGGAAAACCATACATTTGACGTCATATATTGTACACAGGGACGACATAAGGGGACCTCCAAAATCACCCAGCCAGGAAGAGTGCCAGGACAGAACAGGGCAGAGAGTTAAGTAATCAGGAACTTTCCATCTTATAAAATCTTCAGAGCACTGTGGTTGGTGACTAGGTCTGGAGCTAAATACCTACCCCTCCCGTTCCCTTAACCATGCTGCCTTCTTCAAAACAGCCAAGAACATGAGACGCAGTGATCACTTCCTGGCTGGGCAGACATAAAAGGGAGATATTCTTAGAGGAAAAAGTTGGCAAGAGAAGTTCCCTGGCCAGAAAAACCTCTGACAACTGCAGAGTGATTCCCACAGTCATTATTACAGCTCGAGAAGCTACATGTGTTCCCAGAAAATTGGATGGGTGGAAGCCACCTCGTTAAAGCTAAAGCAGGTGACTGACGGCTTTCCCTGAGTCAACCCAAGACCAGGGTGCCTCTAGGAACTGCCAGAAACGGACAAGCTGAGAAGCAAGACTCTTCCCACCCTCATGTAACTCATGCAGACACCAAGCTTCCAGCATTTTCCAACAGCTAAATGTAAACGCAGGCGATCGAAAAGAAAAAGCTGTCATCCCAGAGACGCACCTCCGATTGACATGGGAGGAATCAAAAGGCATTAAACCATTCCTAAAGCCAAGCTTAGCGGGATGGGCCGCTAATCCCAGGAGGTGGAGGCAGGAAGATCAAGAGTTCAAGGCTAACACACACAATGAGGTCAACCTACCACAATCTGAGCTTCCATACTTACATGAGACACTGTCTCAAAAAAAAAAAAAACAAAAACAAAAAACAAAAAACAAAAATTATCTCAAGTGTTGCTTATGAGCCAAGCCCTGGCCTGGCTTCTGGGGCCACAGTCAGTATGAGCAAACCTTGAGGTCAAGAGGGCTTGAATCTTTTTTTTTTTTTGAAGTTTTGCAATTCTTAACACAAATGTAACCTTTCGACCTCAGTGAAGGGCAAAGAGGGGCCTCCTCCATTCCACAGGCATGGGACACTGCCACAGCACACTCTGTTACAACACACTCCAGAACTGGCTACTTTCACTGGGTTCTCCCAGCTCAGAACCGGCTGCCTCCAGCCTTGGCGAGTGGAAGCGCGTCTCAAACATGAGCCCTCCAGGAAGAGGGTATGGAGAAAACAAAGCAGAACCCCTCGCAAGCACATGCGGGAGTCTGAAGATGAAGGAACAGAAGACCTGCACCATTACCTTCCAAAAAAAAGAAGATCTTTATGTGGCCTGAAGGCCCATTGTAACCATCTGCAGACTTACGTCTGCTCTTCTTCTCTCTTTATTTGAAAGTCTCCACACCCCACATAATACATATATATATACATATACATGTGAATATATATATATGAACATATGTGTATTTCTTAGTTATTGTTTATGTGGGGAGGGAAGTTGAGACAGGTCTTATGCAGCTCAGGCTAGGCTGGCCTTGAACTCCTGATCCTCCTACCTCCACCTCCCAAGGTCTGGGATTACAGGCCAAACCCAGCTTCACATTATAATTTAGCACAGCTTACGAGACAAGGAGCATCAAGGACAGAGTTAAGAGCTCTAGAGGGCCCAGGACTGGCCATGATGAAGGCCTTTTTGGAAGGTGTACACCTCACTTTCAGAATTTCACATCTGGGAAAGAGAGTTTTAGGAAGACAAAGTGAAGGGAAGCGCTGGCGTCCCTCAGGCCTGAGAGCTATGACTGTCCTCTCCCAGGAGGGAGCAGCTGTCTCTGCCCCACGCTTGTTCCCGTCTATAAGGCACTTTCCTTCTGTGCTGATACCAAACAGATTCCTCTGCTTAAGAAAGAAAACAGGAAACATCACTTTCTCTTCCTTTCGAAACAGCCTGGGGGAAACGCAGGTTCTGAGGCTTCCTCCTGAGAAGCTCCTAAAGGCGAATTCGCTTCCAGAGCCAACTGATAATTCAACCTCCCGAAACTGAAGTTCCAGGAATCTCAGGTACAGAGTAACGACTTTCAATCCTACCACTGAACTCACTGACACATGCAAGCGGGGGACCTTCACTCTTCTTTACGAGGAGGAGTCTGTCTCTCCCTAGGAGGAACAGCATTTGAATTTGGTGTCTTAGTTAGGCTCACCATTGCTGTGATGAAAACACCATGCCACCTGGGGAGGAAAGGGTTTGTTTACATTTCCACATCAGTGATTGTCACTGAAGGAAGTCAGGACAGGAACACACACACACACACACACACACACACACACACGCACATGCACACACACTCACACACGCAGCAGGAACCTGGAGGCAGGAGCTGATGCAGAGGCCGTGGAAGACCGCTGCTTACTGGCTTGTTCCCCATGGCTCTCTCAGCAGCCTGCTTTCTTATAGAACCCAGGACCACCAGCCCATAGCACAGTAGGGTTTTCCTAATTTTCTCCAAGATAGAATAATCTTCTACCCCTTGGAGATGTGAGCAGAAAACACCATCCCTAGAGACCATTTGTGCTGCATAACTAAATCTTGTAATACGTATGTGTATCATTTCATCTGGCTTTCACATTTCCTGAAGATGGGATAGGATTACATATGCATATGGCCTGTACCTGCAAGTGTGGAAGCCAATCACACGTCTTCCTCCAACGGCTCTCTGCTGTGTTCTTGAGACAGGGTCTCTCACTAAAGCTGAAGTTTATTCATTACGTTAGACTAGCTGCCCATAAGCCCCCCAAGATCCTCCTGTCTCCACCTGCTACATCCACTCAGACCAATGCCAAGCTTACAGACTTGTCACATCCAGCTTCAACAAGGTCCCCCATGCCTGCACAGTAGGCACTTTAACAAGGCTCCCCACACCTGCACAGTA